GTATCTTACTTATCTTGCCGGCACAAGCACCGTGAACACAGTGTCCCCGGCCAGCGCTTGAACCCGGACCGCTGGATCCGTAGTCCAACGCGCTAACCATTAGGCCGGCCGCGCCTCCTAAACTTACCTGCATGATGAATTTTATGCCAAGCTTGCAGAGACTGAAAGGAGACAAGACGGTGTAGTTGATGTGTAATTTTAGCAAATCAACATTTGTTTAGTTTGAAACAGCGACACAGTCCACCCAAAATTGTGTACATTTCCCACGGGGGCCATTTTCCACATTATAAGTTTTTTTACCCGTTCTTTTGCTGAAAATTTATGACGGTAAATTTAAATGATAACAGTAATTTATTAGCGCAAATTCAATGTGGGATTTACAGCTAGTACATCTAAACTGAATAAGATCGTTTTTAACGAGTGAATGCTTAGCATGAACGAAGTTATAGCGTATAGCGGACAAATTTCACTCGCTCCCTCGCTCGATCCCTCGGTCGATGGCCACAAGTTGTAAACAATAATGTATGCGTGGTGCGGTAATTTATGCATTATCAGTAAACAAAATGGCGTCTGGCGCGGATCTCTTCTATTTTTCAACACGGTATTTTCACTCCTACAATTATAATTAGACACCTTTTTGGAGTTCGAAATTGAAAGAAATAACCCTAAATAATACTCGACCGCCCAAAGAGGAGACATTTAGAATATTAAAAGTGAGTCACGTTTGAAGTTCTTCGATCGATTCAAGCTCTGATGAAGACTCAAGCTGTCGAAACTTTTAAAAACCAAGCTGCGGACTTCAAGACTTAGGAAAACACTTAAGTATGTTAAATGTTGTATCTTCTTTATACCAAGTGTATGAATAAAATCTAATTTATCTGAATCATTCTATATTTTCTTTTGTACCACTATGGAATTCTATGATATTTTCTTTTGCTTGCGTCTGAACTATAAAAACCCTTCAATGCTTTTTTTTCCAGCGTATTAATTTAAAGCGAACTGATATTAGTACCTGTGTTTCTTCATACTTGCGCGGGAAAAAAAAAAAAAAACGTGCCGCCACCGGGATTCGATTCTCGCGACCTTCGATACGCAATATTCCTTTTTTGACTCAACCGGGTGACACCCACGGGAGCGACAGAGGCCCTGTACTTTTGCTCCGCTGAACGAATGAACGACTATCGCGGGCTCAAATGAGATTCAACCGAGGACCACCGAGTTGCCTGTTGTTTTTGAGCTGGAAGTGGCCTTGATTTACTCACCAAAGGACTGGTTTCAGTGGCTATGTCGATCGTTTCTATTCATGGATCTATTTAGACGCTCGACAAGTGTTTTTTGGCTCACTCCCCATATTTCCTTGGCGCTGGCGAATGGACTCGCATCGTTTGTTGAGTTATATTTTTTTTTATTTAAGTCTTAAATACCTCAGCTAGTCAAAATACAAAAAAATCCGGCGCGATGGAACGAGTGTTTATCTTTTTATCATATGCATTTGTATGTCTTATTTTAGTTTGCATGAAATGTTTGAAATAATTGTAAAATATTATTATTGGAACGACTGTGTGATGATAGGCGTTTTGCGTGAGAACGGGGGACAAAAAACTAAGATTTACACCTGTCCATTTTCATATGTTTTCTTTGTAATAGTAGAGCAACCCCATTTTTTGTTAATTTAACCTGTAGCTAATTTTAAGTCGCAGATGATTACAACTTCTTATAGATAACTGAATAGTACTTTTCTTTCCGACCAAGAGTTTCGTGTATGACAGAACTGAAGACGAATGAATGTTAGCATATACAATTAATTTTATATTGTGCGTGCGAAGCACAGACTACACAAACAAGATCAGAATGTTTTGAAATGATTGAAATATTTTATTTCCACTGAACAGCAACAATGCTTTAAAATAAAACTTAAACCAGTGTTCGAACAAATTGGCCGAATATTTAAACGACGTCCTAAAAAGTTAGTTAATGAGGTCTAAATCGAACTTGATAAGCAGAGTCAGTCTAAGGGCCTGAGTTCATGGCGAATTTCAGCTCCGGCTGAACTTCCCGCCCGGTTAGGGGGGCTGAGATTTCAGCCCGACTTCCGAAACTCAATCCTCTTGAAATGAAGTAGGCGATTACATGGACAAGCTAGGTTTCAGACCGGGCTGAAATTCAATTCCCGGGTCATGATAGTTCCAGCCCGGTTTTGAAGAACCGGGCTGGAATTTTTTCAGCCCTCGGCCAACGGGCTGAAAAAACCATGTAATCGGAATGGAATTTTCAACACGGGCTGAAAAGTGAACCTTGGGCATGCGCAGTGATTGTGTTTTGGCTAAATTGTAGAATGCCCGGCAAACGTATTTTGCATGTCATTGAATAAGAATGGTCCTTTTGGTTTTTATATACACGTGCAGGCCGTATGTACATAATTTGCCATTTCCGGGTTTTGTAAACATCGCTCCTGTGTTTTTAAACAAGATGGAAATAAGGTTCCAGTGGAACAAGGGAGATAAAATCGAAAATCTTATTCGATGGATGTCCGCGAATTTCAAATCACGAAAATGTAATATAACAACAGCTTTTCGTTCGTTCAAACGTTCAGCGCCGATATGTAAACTAAGTTTGCCGGTTTCTTCAAATCGCCCCTCATTCTCTGATGACTCTTCCGGCGCAATTTCAAATTTGGCGCCCAGGGCTTGAATTTCAGCCCGGGGCTGAAACGTGTCATGTAATCGCAACAAAATTCCAGGCCCCTAACAGGGCTGAAATTTCAGTCCCGGCGAAAAATTCGCTCATGTAATCAGGCCCTAAGTCGCTAAATGTTTTTTTAGTCTGTGTTTCATATCAGCCAAAAATTTCTCTTCTCAACGAGGGTCAACGTTTACTGGTACGGTTTATTGAGCTTAAATATATACATTGTAGGTTTGGGCCAGTATGGTGTAAAATCGTATTAGGCCATGTTGTTGTTAAACCATGTGTAAACCTTGTTTTTAAAATATTCGTCCCCATAAAGTTGGCGATTATCGCCCGGGGGTTATCGAATATCCGATGAGTACGATTAAAGACTTTTCAGTTGAGTTTCCCTCCCCGACCAACACTGAGTTTGGACGTGAAATACGAAATACCACCGGCCTTTGCGTGAATGCCGCGCGGAAATCATGTATTGTTTCTGTTGCGAGGAATAAATCCGAGACTCAAAACTCGAAACTCGATGCTCAAAAACATCGAGGACGAGACTGTCAACTTACATTTACCCGGTACTACTGCATATTTCTATGTTAATTAATTTCTTTACTTTTCCATTCACGAGTTGGCACATAGTGCCTTTGATTAGATTCATGATCACATTAATCGTATATCTAGTCATCGGATGAGGTTGATCACTCACCGACTCCTGGTTCTGTAGCTACTCCCCTGGATAGATCTGTCATTTAGAAACTCGGGGTGTAAAGGTAGCTTATATTAGCATGAAATGGCAACAACAAAAAAAAAAAACCCGGAACTGGTCTGTTGAATGCTGACCAATGCTATTCCATCGCAGGTACAGTTCCTCCACCCCCCCCCCCCCCTCAGTATCACTATACGGGGGTGTGGGGGGGAGGGGGGGGGGGCCTGCGGGGTAATCATCGAAAGTGAGCGGCAAAGACGCGAGAGTCTGGGGCGGGAGGAGTGAACGACAGCCGCTCAGTTGTAGCCTGTTCCTCGCCTTTGTTTCTTCGCCGCTCTTCGCGCTTTGCGCGTCTTTTCGCGTCGCTACTCATTTTGTAAATCTTTACCTCGCGCGAACCGCCGCGGACTGCCGGGACTGTCAGATCTCTATTTTCTAGACGTCGATAATGGAGAGGCTGTAAACAGTCTACTTCCTTAGGACTTCTTTAGTGGCTCCCGCCTCTTTGTGCTTTTTCTATTGCGAAATATTTTTTCGCAATGTTGCGAATTTTTTCCTGTTTCTCCCGGTTCCCGCAACCTCGGAAAATCCTGTGCTTTCCGCTCTCTTTTTTCCCTTAGAAATCAACCAGGCGTTTCTTTTTGCCCGAGAAGGCCCGGGTTTAGACTGTCCGCTGGACACTTTGATCTGAAGGCTCTTGCGAGTAATAAATCAACGTGCTTTTAGTACTTTTAGAATTTTAGGCCAAGTTTTACGATTATTTTCGAGCTGTTGTAGAGATTCAGTTACCAAAACATGGTGAGTAATCATTTTTATATGCATATAGATCGCTTATAAAACTTTTTGTGTTCGAATCTGGGGCCAAATACACTGTGAAAAAGTAAAAACCTTTCACCAGACAAAATTAATTCGATCGACGATCGCGGGCAGAAATCTTCTTTTCTCGAAAGTCATCTGCTTGTGTCAGCTTGAATATTGGTTTTGTATCGAATATATGTAATAATTGAAAAACGTTAACTTGAATTCTGTGTCCTCAGTTTATAGCTTCATATGATATCCTACGAAGCTGTTTATACATGTATCACTACACATGAACCGTAATTACTACGTCATTATAATTTGGTATACGTACCTGTAAGCTTACATTGTATAAAATCCTGAATCCGACTACTTAACAATTAGACGGCAAGCTCGAGGTTTCTATTGGCTGATAGTTGGCGAGGGGCGAACCCCCGAGCCAACTATTAAAAGTCGATGGAAACCGAGAGCGAGCCCTCAAATAATTATTGTTTTAGCATAACCCAGTGGCTGATCTATTAAACATTGAATATCGATAAAACTGATTTATTGATGGTTTTGTTTAATACTTTTTGGCCGCAATGTACGAAAAACTATGCGCATGCTCCGAGAGCCGTCTATCGATCAATAGTAGGTGCCTGTGTAGCCAATCAGATTACGAGTTTGGCAATAGTCAGCCACTGGGTTATGCTAAAAAACATTCAACCCCAACTATTCATAATACTCTCTCCTTCTATTTTTCTAATTGCCTTTATCGTTTGTATGTAGAAACCACTTATGCTGCATGGGCATGAGCGTTCAATCACTCAGATCAAATACAACAGAGATGGTGACTTGCTGTTCTCCTCAGCAAAAGACACAAAACCAAATGTTTGGTATTCATTAAATGGCGAAAGACTTGGAACATATAATGGTCATGGTGGTGCTGTGTG